TGTGTCTGTGCACACTCACAGGCTCCGTCAGGCTCTGAGTGCTGCCCCTCCCCTCAGCTGGCTTCCACAGGTTGTCCAATCAGAATCCACCCCTGCAGTCTCAGCAGCAGTGCAGTTCAGAGGAAGAAGCGTCGTGATGAAGCTGAGGAATAGAGATGGGTGGATGTTAGTTACATTTCTTTTGCACAGTTACAGAGTCGTGTTGGCTATGTGTGGGGGCTGACTCCGCCCTCTGACGGGGGCAGCTGTGGTTTCAGAGCTGCGATGAGCTCCGTCTGTCTGTAAACAGCCCGGGGTCTCTGTTCTCCTTTAACTCATCCAGTTTGTGATGAAAACCTTCCCCGGAGACACGTTAGCAGCCTTCCCCCAGAGAACGCCGCTCAAACGTGACGAAACGGCGTGCTGATTGTGGCCAATTAGATGCTGTTTAGGACAATTACCTGCTATCAGATCACAGAGCTCTGGCAGGAGGACGGGACGTTTCCCTGCTCGCCACATGAAGGGAGGAGGTGGTGAAACCTTAAACTGGGTTTTAGTCAAAGCAGGAGGTGCTGAAAGAAACCTGCCAGCTTCTCCTTTCTGCCGCCACAGGACGAAGCCTCCCAGCCTCTCGCCGCTCCACCCTCTATTTACGCCTCCGCTGTCGCCCTCAGAGCCGTCTTTAATACCACCGTACATTTATCCACCTTTAAACCCTTGATTAGGACCCCGAGAGACGGCCCGGCTCAGAGGGAGGCTTTATCCCTGTAATCCCGCAGAGCCCCGCAGATCCCCACAGAGCCCCACAGAGCCCCACAGACCCCCACAGAGCCCCACAGAGCCCCGCAGAGTCCCCCAGAGCCCCGCAGAGTCCTGCAGAGCTCTGACTCTGCTACAAACCTGCCTGTCACTCAGTCGGCCTCCTCTATGGATGAAAGTCCGGCTTTACTGAAGTGTCGACTGGTGAAAGTCAGTGACAGTGTGGGGCTCCATCACTATGAGTCTAACCTGGAACTGAGCGTGCTGTCCCTGCTGGTCTGCACATCTGGGTGTCTGCAGACTGGACCGAGGGTGGTGTTAGTGGAGGTGCTGCTCTGTGGGGCCGGGCGGCAGCAGCTGGTTTCAGTCAGTGCACCAACAAACTGAAGACATTATTTACTGTTCATGGCGCTGCTGAACCTCGTTAACATGAACTTTACATGAACCCCCACCCGAGCCCCCGGCGCTTTATTTAAAGTGCTGTTTTCCACAAACGTTGCTTTGAGACATTTGGCACAAGGTGAGCTGCAGACAGCCGGGACGCCGTAACGTCTCAGAGACACATTTTTCACTCACAGCATAGAAAACAAAAGAAATATTAAAACTGAAAAAACACCGTCCACACCAGCAGCTGCAGGTTACAGAAACTCAAACTTTACATAACAGTCACTGAATCTTCAGAGGATCTGCAGCTCAAACACCGGCAGCCGTCTCAGGGATTATTTTCTGTCATTTTTATACGTTTATCTGCAGACGTCATGTGTTTAAATCCAGCTGATCAGCTGTGATCAGAGCGTGCTTCAGTAAAAATCACACACACACACACACACACACACACACACACACACACACACACACACACACACACACACACACACACACACACACACACACACA